ATAGAATTTACCATAATGCTAGGTTATGACTATTTTCTGACCGCTTTGTTTGGTCCTCAACCACGTCAAATATGGCACCGACCGAGCATACTATTGGGCGGTGCTGCATTCTACGCTCTAAATGTGTAATTGGGGTACTCAAAAATTGTCAGGAGTGCTAAAAATAGTCACCACCAAACTTTTAGAATCAAAACACCCTCTAAAAATCTAGATCCTAAAACTATTTAGAAACAGAAATGGAATTTTAAAAGTTTGGTAAATTTAGCCCGCTCTAAAACTGTTTATTTCGTTTTAACCACCCTACAAAAAAAGATTGTGGTGGTGTGCTTATAGGTTAACCTATAAATTGTCTTAAATCTCGATATATATTAAGGAATTTCTAAGAACTCGTTTTGTGTTTATCGTGGTTGTTTGGACGTCGTCAAATGTGGCGCAGGCCGAGCGTACTATTCGGCGGTGCGGCGGTCTACGCTGGCGTGGCCTTCGCGACGTATGTGACGCTGTATGACCCCAAGAAGAGCGATAACAATGCGGCCACACCGGCCGTGGATGACGCGAGGCGTCTACAGGTCTTCGACATGAACGCGTCCAAGTATGACAAGGAGGTGGACTGGGACGAACGGCTCACGGGAATCTCACTCATGCGGCGCTTCCTGCTGCAAAGGGCCCGTGGACAGGTGCTGGAGGTAGCGGCCGGTACGGGTCGCAATTTGGCCTTCTACCCTGCGAGTTCGAGGGTGCTTCTCACAGACTTCAGTCGTGGGATGCTGGACCAGGTATCAAAAGCGCAACAGCAGCGGCTGGCCAGCTGTGAGCTTAAAGTCATGAGCGCAGGCGAACTGGCCTTCCCAGACGAGCAATTTGACACGGTGGTGGACACCTTCGGGCTCTGCAGTATGGACGACCCGGTGCGCACGCTGCAGGAGATGCAGCGCGTGTGCAAGAAGGACAGCGGTCGTATTTTGCTGCTGGAGCACGGCCAGAGTAGCTACACGTGGCTGTCGGGCATCCTGGACAAGTTCGCGGACCTACACGCTCAGAAGTGGGGGTGCCACTGGAACCGGGACATCCTGGCGCTGGTGGAGCGGGCCGGACTGGAGGTGGAGACCGTGCACCGCTTCCATTTCGGCACGACGTACTACATCGTAGCCAAGCCTCAAGCTGAACGTGGCCACGACCAAAAGACGGGCGAATGATTAGATAAGTACAAATAGCCTCGCGTCTTGAAGTTGTAGTTTGGTTGATGTCCGGATGTATGTTTGTCGGTTGAAGTAAATCCGTCCTTCGATGCTTGGCAAAGCCAGAATTGGTGCCGGTCGTCGTTTGTGCTAGGGGCAATCAAGTACTCGTGTACATTTACTGAAAGAGTCGTGTGATCTGCCATTTTAGTGGCGCGGCCGGCGTTCAACTTGGTTGTATAACCGCATCAATTACGAAGTTATACTTCAGTATCATGTGGTCGCAATAATCGAAACTCTTATCCTTTTGATCATCCTGAGCCCATTGATGGAATTTTGAGGCACAAGTGCGTGTCCTCCGGCTTGATTGATCGTCTACTTCAAGTACATGTACAGTATCTACATCCGCGCAACGCCCAGGGCGCAAGCTTCCCGGCACTGCTGGCCAATTCATGCCGCCGGCACAGCTAGGATGAAGTTGCCATTGTTCTTTTAACCACGAAACACACAAGGGAAGGAATGCGTTGGCTTGATGCCGATGTTGTTGCCGTTAATCGCCCGTGAAGCTACGACAAGTATCAGAGTTCGAGTTGTTGTACTGGGGTGACGGTAGTGAAGAATCATCCGGTGAATCGGCAGACGTATCGATATGAGACTCCGATCACTATCAAGGAGCTCATACTGTCCGCCCAGCTACGACTGCAACGCAACAACCAGCGTTTTTGCTGGGCGGGCGTATCCTATCGAATGCATGAGAACTGAAATCTCAAACGGCATCGCTGCGCAGAGCTATTGCCGACATTTTGCATAAGCTATAGGCACCGCAATTTGAGAACTCAACAAATACATTCACGGCGTCCGATAGGCAGACCTGCGTTTTTATAAGTAGGGGCGGACATTCCGATCGGCATCACCAATTGCATGCCTTACGACCCAGTGTTCGCAGAACACACCTCGAGTAAATTTTAGCTGATGGAGTTCCAGTTGGTCTTCGAAGCCTAAGCTGTGAATGATCTCGATGCGTGATACTAGTAACTATCTTGTCGCTTGAGTCGGGAAATGGTATCCAACAGCAAACTTAGAGGTGTGGCTAGACGTTTCGTGGATGACAGTGCATCGATTCCTACAAGAGGTCTCCAAGTATCAGTCGTTGATAATCAGCGAGGCTAGTCCAGGTGATTGCGGAGAGGGAGGCCTTCTCAACGGATACCATCAGGAGTTGTTATTAATGATCTCATTTCGAAGAACACGAGTAAGAACGACGCCACGCTAGAGTCGAAGTAATTCGCATAATAAACAACTCAGAGAGGTTGTGCATGGAATTCGACAGATATCTCGTCGTTGCCGGTTGCACGTGTCCAACCCGTCTGCGGCCAACCTGTCTGCGTCCAGGCATGGACATGAAGCAGCTACACTTGGACTATCACAATCTAGAGAGCTATCTACGCCCTGGGAAAGAGTCGACGATGCTGAGTCCTATTCATTTCAAGGGTACAGCGACTGAAAACGTAACGGTTAACACTTGACTCGGGCATAGGTGGAAGCTTAAGCTAAGAGCTGGAAGGCATCTATGTGTACTTCTACTTTCTGCTGCCTGCTTACATGTGGTTTCTGGAATCTCCACTGACCTCCAAAATCTGTCACTAGACTCGAGAAGCATGCATTAGTTCCTCGGAAATTTATGGAACACAGAGGAGGGGATGACTATTGCCTCTGCATACTAGTATACCAGTATTTCTAGCTCTCATTGGGACGCCGCCGCTTCGAGATAAATCTGCTTGACAACACCGCCTTCTTAGTTAACCAGTGTCGTGTAGTACGTGGCAAGGGGGGTGGGGACTACCGCGCAGTGACTCGTATCGTAGTGCCGCAGAAGTTCTGGCAGGCGTTCATCCACACACCACACGTGGATTTGTTAATATGTTTAGATTGTGACACCTCTTCTGACTGATGGAATTCATCGTACTAACATCTACATCAGTTCTGGGCATTGTAGTACCAGATAGGATCTGCACTATGGCTTGACCAGCGTGTGGTGATGGGAAGACCTGTCAATCGGATTTAGTCCTACCTAGCTCTATTAGGGTGGACGTAGGTGGATCACGGGTTAAAGGTTTCCACTCGTCGGGATCCGAGGAGAGTGGCGGTCAGTGACCATCGCTCTCTGCCGGTCACATTACCCTGCTACAGGAAGATAATGGTCTGCACTGGTTCGGAGTGGCCTGTGAGGTATCAGAGCGAACATTGATCGGTTAACTGTGGCAGCGAATGAGCGAGACTTAGTGCTTGAAGCTCATCCCAAGTTGCACAGAATACCTTGGTCTGTTCCCGATTCTATGTCGATCGACACGTGGACAAAGAGTTCATTTCTCAACCACTCCGGCGATACTAGAGCGAGATTCGCAAAGACACTCTAAAGATTCTCGACTAGCTAACAGGTGTGGCAACAACTGACACATGGCAATGTCAAGCAATGCATCAAACTCCAACACAGCTTTGATAGCACGGCAACGCGCTCACTGAATACCAAGTTAGCCTATCGCCACGCAGCCCGTTTACTCAACCTCTACTTTAAAGACCGACAAAAGGACAATAGTTGCAGAAAATTACGCCAATGCCGAGGCAGAAAGAGAGTGTGGCTCACAGTTTTTTGACATGACTGTGTGCGCAAGAGTGTTGGAGAGAGTTTAATCAGTCATTGGGCGGGGCAGGACTGAAGGCGCAGAATAGTGAGAAGTTCACGGGAACTGCGCAGTACGCAAACCACATCGACTCTCTAATAATACCAAACAACTGCTTTAGGACAACTTCGTCGATGATGCTAAGTTGTATGATCAAGCCTGTCAGCGAATATGGTGGATATTGAGCTTCTACTGCTTAACTACGTTGTGGAGTTAGAGGAGCGCTGTCGTGCATCAAAACAAAGATGCGACCTCCTTCTGAAAGGGGGTCTAGGCCGCAGCTGGCAGTAGCGCAAAGAGAATGACGGCAACCTCACACGAAAGTCCAAGGAACGCAACTATTTCTTTGTCTACAATTGTTTGTTTTCGCAAAAACCAACCGAGTTACCGAGTTAACTCGTGAAGCGGGGAGCCATAAGAGGCCACCGTAGCCATCAGGGTCACCGGCGTTGCTAACCTGGCTTAGCAAATTACAGACATCTAGTATACAATACTGTAACACGTTAAACAGACTAGTGTGATCTTCTCTCTCTCTCTACCTAAATTAACACGTTGAACTTCATTGTATACGACCATCCTGATTGATTCTTCTTCTACTTGTCCCTTATCTCTTCGCTATTGTGCTCTTCTGGATCGATGCATCAAGACGTTACCTATAAGTTCATCTAGAGTATTTGCTTCAACTGTGTAGCGTATACTTGTATGTGTACCTTTACTATAGTATGTATTATATAAAACTGAACAACGAAGGAATATATACTTTACTTCGATAAAGTGAGCTCCAACTGTCCCGTCTCAACTTTTCGTATTACGACAGCCCCAGATTGCGCCGAGCGTAACCCCATCCCAAGGTCCATCTTGCAGCTCGTTTCTGTCCTTAAAACTGTCAAAAGAGTTGAACTAGCGAAATTTTGGCATCAAACGACGGTTGGCATTTTACATAAAGCCAGACCTCCTTAAAAAAGGCATATAGCGGAATGTGTTATATTAGCTTAATACAGGCACCATAGAAATCTTAATACCGGCACATCGGCGGTTTAAAGCTACCCTGCTACTTTCGCTCGCTTAGTTTGCTGAGTTGGTCGAACTGTTTAGCCTGGAATATACCCTCCAATGCCAATGACGTGAATGCAGTGCGACGGTCGTTCAGCTCCCACTTCAGTACCGAAAAGTCGGATTCGACTGACGCCGTGTTAGCAAATACAGTTGCCAAACCACAGCAGAATTGACGAAGGTGCGAATGTTTTAGGCTTCACTGCCTCTTCAAGTATATCCCAGCCATCATTGAAGCTCGTGTTGTAATCCTCTTTGTCCAACGCTGATCTTACTGAATCATCAATCTTATTTGCAAGGAATAATTCTCGATGCTCGCGTTCTGCTGCTTCGATTTGGGTAAGCGACCAAAACTTCATCAGCTGAGCACGGCGGGGCTCCAAAATGTTCTCACCAAAATCCCGTGGGTTCACCAAAACCAGTTCTGATGGCATTACTGGCGGTGCAACTTTTTGCGCCGGTTTGTTGTTACTATCTCTCTCTGCTTGTACAAGTTCCATTCCTTCAATAACGTAAACCGCAAACTTGCCTAGTTGCTGAAGAGTTGATTGTTTCTCGGGTAGTGTTAGAGAGTCCACGTAGTTTCTCACGAAACTTCCCTGATCTTTTACAAAGTTGAGTAAATCTTGCTGCTTTAGCCAAAACTTATCTGTAACTGTGTCATTTATCCCATGTGGGATCATGGAATCAATCCGTGGTTGAATGGACAATAGGCTCCGCAGACCCGCCAC